ATATTTGAATAATTATCTACCCAGAAAGTTCTGTAATCAACATAACCTGAAAAAATTTTAGACAGCAAGTGATCTGTCATAAGCTAATGATAGTCATTACAGTGCCATTCACTTAAAAACATCTGTCTGCCCCAAAGTCCATTTAAACTGACCTATATTCTTCAATTTATGGATAAAATAGGCTTAGCGATAAGCACTTATAGTTTCTTAGTGATGTTGTGTCATTACATAATATACCATATTTATTGTGCATAATTTGAAGAATGGACAGCTACCTTGAGACCAAATTCGGTCACTAAGAAATATTTTGTCCTCAGCAATGTCACTCCTGTTCCACTTGATAGCCAAGGTCAGCTGTTCCAGCCTCTGCTTCTCATCAGAGTTCCCCTTGACTGGAACACAATCATTTAATTTATTATTACAAGGATGGGCTAAGGGAGTGCTAAAAAAGGTACCCCCCTCCCCTCAACTCCCCCAGTTTTAAAATAGTCTCATTAAAAACTCAGGACCTTATTAAGTCCACTTCCCTACCTAAAAAAAGGAAAGCCTATCAAATTAACAAAAAGTAAAAAATCAGTGATCATATTGGTTCAACATGTTTTAAAGCTAATGGCTATTTTGGAGCCCAATTAAAAAAATCTCATTCAAGATGGATCATTATGTCACTAATTGGGTTCATTTTTCATGAAAATAAAGCCTTAATGGGTTGTAAATTGTTAATAACAACATTACTTTATTTTTGGGTTGGATTAAAAGATGTGCCCAACAGTAGCTCAAGATACTTTGTATGAAGAGTAGTTTGATTTTCTCAATGCTTTTCAAACTGCACACTTACCTTTTAGTAATGCTGACAAAATAGCTCTGTCCAGAGCTTCGTCTCTGTTCATATCAAATATTGTAATCTGAAAATTATTTAAAATTCATTAAAGCAGCAAATCAAAGCACAATGTATCCATGAGCAAACAAAATATTTCATCCATCACATGGTAATAATACCTGCCCATAGCCAGGGGGGTTTGAGGGGTTTCGAAAGAACCCCCCCTTTTCCTGAGAAAATATCCCCTCTAGGTAAAATTTTATCTAGGTACATGAAGGTCTCATGGTAAAAGGTCCATTTTTTTCGAAAAAGAATGCCCCTTTTGAAATTGCTGGCTATAGGCTTGTAATATTTCTAACAGTGATGACTCAATCTTTTCAATAGGGAAAATTGGGAATTTTACAGATACAGTTTTTTTCAATTCATAAATTCTTATTGGATGGTAGCAACAAAATCCAAAGGCAGGCAATCCTATACAGAAAAGCACCACAAATGCTATATAAACATATTTTTAATGATTTCAAAATTATATTGAAAAGATCAAGTTATTGCTATACTAGTACTTGTCATCAGAATCCTTTATACTACAATAAAGGAACTTATTGAGAATAAATAAATTAATAAGAAATATTTTAATCCAAATATCTCATAATTCTACTCTCTTTTGATAAATAAAAAAGAAATTGCATCTTACATGAACCAAGTGAGTTGCTGACGTGCAATATCTTAATCAATACTATTTCTCAAAAGTATCACCTTATACATACGGTAAAGTCTTGAAAATTTCGTCGTTCTTGAAAATTTCGTCGGCAGACGATTTTCCGCCGACGTAATTTTTTTCCCTTTGAAAACTTCGTCGACCTTGAAAATGAGGTACTCTATAATTTTTGAAAAGTTCGTCACCAAATATGGCCGCGTTGTCCAGCTCAAACATGAAGGTAATGCGTCAGTTGATTCAAGACAATGATACGATCAGGATATCATTGCCGATAACACTCTCAATGGGAGATAGGAACAATAGTGCGCCCCTGCGAGCGGTTACTCACAATATAGATGGTTTAGATGTGAATTCCCGTTCTCAATTGCGGGAACGTAGGCCTTTTGTCTTTAGTTTCATTACTGTAACCTGGCTTAAGGTGCGTTATCAAGCCGGAAAATAGAAGTCACAGGCCGCGGCTTTGTCATTTGTAACGCCGTTATTGTTATCGGCGGCTGTCCTAAATGAGAAAGACACAATGAAAAAATCAAGATATTATCTCGAAGTGAAATGTACCCGTCACTTCTATTCATGTCCATGTTCAATTTAGGACCATTTAACGATTACCTGGCTCGTACAGGGAGATCGTTCGCAATGTGAATGGGACGAGATGGCAATTTTCATATCTTCAGCGGAGAATCGTTCTCGTAATATCGTCAACAGATCGTTCGCGATCCAAACGAGACGGGAAAGTAAATTTTCATATTTGTAGCGGACTCCGTTCGCGTAAGATCATCAGCGGGAGATCGTTTGCGATTCGAGAGAGACGAAAAAGGCAATCTTCATATCTTCAGCGGGAGATCGTTCAGGATGTAAGCGAGAATAAAAATTTAATGCACTTTTCATATTAGTTCAAGGGAACTTCGTTCGCGTAAGATCATCAGCGGGAGATCGTTTGCGATTCGAGAGAGACGAAAAGGCAATCTTCATATCTTCAGCGGGAGATCGTTCAGGATGTAAGCGAGAATAAAAATTTAATGCACTTTTCATATAGTTCAAGCAGGGAATTATATCCGATATAATTCCCTGGTTCAAGGGAACTTCATTCGTGGAAGATCGTCAGCAGGAGATCATTATTTTAACCCCCCCCCCTCCCC